CACAAAATCGCTTAAAAGCACGGAAATTTTTCCTTGTCGCGACAAGATCGGTGTAATAAATTGCGGAAACAGATGTATGTTGTATTGAATTAAGCATTATATCACGTTCATGTTTCCAAAGATCACACTCCCACAAGATATGATGGGCAGACTGCTCATGACAGACATCATCAGTGGAACACTCGCAAAAAGGAGACGGAACTAGTTTGAATTCGTGAAGTTTATGTTTAAAGTTGCCATGTCCCGTGAGGAACTGCGACGAGCAATGGTCGATTTCTAACCATCGCCTAGTTAGACGTTCGCGTACATTCGGGAAGAATTTATATAAGTGACGTCCTTTGACTGACGTATCCCATCTTTTAGTAACTGATCATAAAATGTTTTTCCAATCGCTCAAGCTCCCGAGGATCTACCGATAGGTCGGGTGACGTAATCTTGAAATTCTTTTAGCCGGCGCGGAACTTCCGGAAGGTCGGGTGACGCCACGCCTCTTTGAACCGTGTTTACTTTGGCAGTTATATTCTATATTTATTCGATTCTAAAATATATTCCCAAAAATTTTGAAAGTTGTTTTAATTTGTATCACTTGGATATGATTTGTATTAGAAAGTGCTGTGAGTGTGACGCTTGAACGGAAGGAAGTCAACCTAACCTAACCAACTGCGTATTTCTAAACTGCGTATTTCTATACTGTGTAGCCGCGAGAGCTCTTTGGCGCGCTGTCTTCGGCGAAGTATTGCGCGCGCAGATTTTGACAGCGCGAAATACCTACTTTAGCAGAAATACCAAGCCTTAAGTGTAGACACTGTTTATGTATAAGTCCACTATTGCATGCCGTGGCAACCTATAATTAAGGCAACACTTAGATTAAGTTAAATACGTTGTAAATATTGATTGTCTTCCAGTGTATGTCTTGTTGGTTGTCCTATTAAATAAATAAAAAAAATAAATAAAAATTATATTGATACCTTCAGGCACCGATCCAGCCTAAAGATTGTTGTGGTCACATTACACGAAAATCTATTCTCGACGACCTCATATTGATTACTAGAAACTTAGTAGAAACTAGTCATTAAACATTAATGTTTTTGTTGTTTTGTAATTATAGGGTGGCGTAGAAAACATGGAATTGGCAAAGACATACTACTGCTCTGCTCTGAAATTGAACCCAGATAACATGCGAGCACTTCTCGGCTTGTTTTTGGTAAGTTACCCTACTTCTACCTATTGATATTTATTCATCGTTCGTTTCAGCCGAAAGACGTCCACTGCTGGACAAAGGCCTCCCCCAAGGATTTCCACAAAGACCGGTCCTGCGCCGCTTGCATCCAGGTACTTCCCGCGACCTTCACCAGATCGTCGGTCCACCTAGTGGGAGGCCTGCCCATTTATTCATAACAACAGTATAAGCTTGTGGGATATGATGATCAACCACAATAAGGAAGCTAGATGTTAGTGCTTCCTTCCGAGCGGGTGTTGTGCTCGGGGACCAAGGTCCGATTTACACCATCTTGGTTTGCCTATATATACTTGGCAGGATATAAAACTCCGTCACCGCGATGCAGGTTTGTATGAGCGGCGGAGTGTGCCATAGTGAAGTAGTAACAGCGCCATCTGTTGGTCACTAGTTTGTAGTGGGCGTCGCCACACCACTCCCCCCGGAAGAACCGGAGGTGGATGACGTCAGGATGAGCTCAGCAGTCTGTGCGTGATGAGCTTACAAGTGCCAGTGTGCTCAAGTCTGCGGTGAGTCGAGACGAGCAGGTTGCGGTGCTCTATCCACGGTGAGTCGGGATAGTGAGCGGAGGCGTCTTCGATGGTCGGGCGTGGAGCTGGGCCAGAGCTGTACCCGTGACCAGTGAAGTGACGGTTGCTTGCTGCCGAGGAACCAGGAAGGTCGGTTGCGATCTGCGATAGTCCCTGAAGGCTGGATGCTGGCTTGTTGAAGACTGGAGCTGATGACGGAGTGGCGGAGATGGTGAGGATGGCGGAGGCTGNGGAACTAGTTTGAATTCGTGAAGTTTATGTTTAAAGTTGCCATGTCCCGTGAGGAACTGCGACGAGCAATGGTCGATTTCTAACCATCGCCTAGTTAGACGTTCGCGTACATTCGGGAAGAATTTATATAAGTGACGTCCTTTGCCTGACGTATCCCATCTTTTTTGCCATTCATTAAGTAAATCTTCTTCAACGACTTCTCGGGAATCAAATAATCGACTTATTTTAGAACGATCGCGGCTATTTAAGAAATCGGAGGTTATATTTTCCCTTGATGTGAAGTACATAGCCGCACGCTTCTGTACCTCTAAGTCTATGTATAATAGTCAATGTTTGCATTTATTGTCGTATTGTGATATTGTCATCTCCACCTTGTATACATTTTTTCAAAATTTTTGATGCGCGAGGCCCCTTGTACCGCGAGGCCGTAGGCGGTGGCCCACGTCGCCCACGCCTTACGCCGCCACTGCATGGGAGAGGTGTCAGGTGACATTTATATTAAGACGTGACAGAGCATTCAAATCTGAAGCACATTCGAGGTTTTGCTGATGTTTTACATTACAAAAACACCTTCCCGTGACGCTTCCATACCTCATGCAGGCACTGACCTATAGGTAGTTTAAATTACGAGTACAATATGTAGGTACATTTTCCTACCTAGTAACTTTTACACCCAGTTAGTTACTTTTACTGAGTTTACTTTATTCTTTCATCGCATGAGTAACACCTAAATTCCACCACGGTGTGTTAAGACCTAAAGAACTGCAATGTCTGACATCAAAATCAGACCAATGCGATCCTTCCGAAGTAGGTTAGCATGTTTTCTTTCATCTATACTAATATTATAAATGCGAAAGTAACTCTGTCTGTCTGTCTCGCTTTCACGCCTAAACCACTGAACCGATTTTGATGAAATTTGGCATAGAGAATAGAGATAGTGAGTTCCGGGCAGGGTGAAGAAACTTCCATACAACGGTCATCGAAGTGAAACTTGCTTCCAAACAGCGACATCGGTGAATAAATTCAAATACTTTTTAACTACCCTAAAACGCACTAGATGTCGCTGTTCCTGTTTCCTTCATATTTTCATTTTTTTCTTAATTAAAATATATTTGAGAATATTGTTAATTACAATGTGAAAACTTTTTTTAAATGAAATTAATTTGTTTTAATTTAAAACTGAACATTGACATTTTTGTTATAATTTACATAATAGAGTAGTAGAAATTACTATTTAACATATGGCAACTTTGTTTTTCCTCCAAAATGGCCGGTGTTGTTTTTGTTAGGTTGAATTGAATGCATTATTGTTTTCTTAGCCATCGTTTATGAGTTCTGTGGCCCTATTAAAGTATTGAAGAGTCGAGTCAAATTCAAGTTCATTCCTTCGTACCTGCTGCTGTTCTGGTTCATCGGAGTTTTGTTCGTTCCTTCGTGAATCGCGAAGAAACTTTCTGTTATGTTCACAAGTGAAATTCAAGTTCATTCCTTCGTACCTGCTGCTGTTCTGGTTCATCGGAGTTTTGTTCGTTCCTTCGTGAATCGCGAAGAAACTTTCTGATATGTTAACAAGTGATCTGAGTTTTCTCAATGTGCAAATGCTTTTTTAGTGTTGTTGAAAACTTTGCGAAAAGACGCTTTTGGTGTATAATATTATGTGTGTTCATAAATAAAGTAAAATTATTAAATTCAAAAGTTTTTGTTTACTTATTTGCATTTCCATGTGCAATGTAGAATTTTTCCAAATACATTGTTTTGAAAATACGTACACCATAAAGATAAATATTTTCAAAATAATGGATTTGAAAAAATTCTACATTGTACATCATAAAAACAATAATTCTTTGAAGGTTATTAGGGCCTATGTGTGCGTGAACTGTGTGTATGTGTGCGTGGACTTTATGTATGTATGTGTGCGTGTACTATGTATGTATGTGAGCGTTACGTACGTAGGTTAAGTACAGGGAATTTAACACCAGGCTATCAATTAGTAGGCTCAAAAATTTGACAGAGAGGGTTCTCTATTTCCTATGTATTACTTTTCTCTATGGTTCCGGGAAAGGACATAGGAGATAGTTTTATCCCGTTTTTTGAAACAGGGACGCGCGCGATTAAGTTGTTCTGTGCTGTGACAGACTAAATTCTGCGCGGGCAAAGCCGCGGGCGGAAAGCTAGTAAATTATAAAACTCTACATTTTCAAAATGTGTAAAATAATTTATAATCTATTAACCTACGGTTTAATTTCAATTTTGTCTTAATAAAGCGAAGAGACACAATCTGCTGCCGCGACTGTACGCTCACCATAGTATAATATTCAATTATTAAACACACAATCCTCCCTTATTCGACCTGAGTGGCGCCACCTACGTTCTCTATCGGTAAATTTAATAATGTTAGAATTTTGCTTAGCTTAGAGATGAACCAACCAAGTTAGAAGCTTGGTAGACTCTTTCAAAATTGTTCTAGTTGAATACGTTTTTTAAAATATTCATTAAATCAGAAGCAAAAAAAACATAATAATTAGATTTTGTTAAAAGGTAGATATTTACTAGTTTATAATGTTTATCAAACTCTTTCGGGTAGATACCTGAATACAAAGCATTGCGCAACTATTTGATTTTATTAAAAAAATTGTCAAAATTAACTGAACAAATTAAATAGAATAATTATTTAAATGATGAAAACAAGATTACATTTTAACGTACAGTACCATCTAGTGGTCTTCATATTGTTTACTAGTTTTGCTATTAGATACTAGATGGCAGTACTGCAATGCTATAAAAAGCATGCTTTAAATAGTTAATCTACTCACTAATAGATGTCATTGAGTATGCAGTGAAATTAAAATAAAAATAATAATGATTATTTGTTTAAATTGTTTTAATGTTGACTTAATTATTTCACCTAAGGCGATTTTAATTAAATTATATTGTATATAGTTGTCGTGATAGCTTGTAGAATTGGAGCCTTGTTAGTGAAATGTCAAATCTGTCAAAAAGTTTGACACTGACAGTTTGTTATCAGCAAAATTTGTTATGGTTTTTCGAAGCAAAATTACCGTGTTTTATTAATGATTTGTTAATTAAAATGATTGTGTAAGTCGTTATCATCCCACTCGGCGCACGATGGACCGGCTGTACGCACTCGGGGTGTCTTGTATAGAGTTTCTGCAGGATTGGTAAGTACGCAAGTTGCTATTGATTTTTTGTAATAATACTGCATTAGCGTAGTTTTTTTGAGTTAAAAATTGGTTTTTCACACGCAACTAAGGAATTTCTTAACTGAAACTGTAAATTAAACCTTAAATTAATTGGTATTTTATATAATGAGTACCTAGTACCATTATGTCCTTGTAATATTCTGTAGTTAATAATAATAGTCATTGTTACTCGACTTTTTTATTTGGTAACAGGTATTCTATTAATATAAATTAGTCACGATTGTATTTTGGCTTAATAACTTTCCTCTGACCTTTTTACTCGTCTGACTTACAGTAGATTTCCTTCATTCTATTAACCTACTAAATATTAGTAGGATAATAGGATAGGAAGTTACAAACTTTCGCATTAATAATATATTAATGCGAAAGTTTGTATGGATGGTGTTAACATGTTTGTTACTCTTTCACGCAAAAACTACTGAACGGATTTTGATGAAACTATACAGTATTATTGTTTATAACCCAGAATAACATAATTAAGCTATAATATTGATCCAAAAGCTAGTCATTAAATAAAACTTATTACAACTTTAAAGGTTAACCTAAGGTAGACTGGAGGAGAATGTCGAGTGGCATTAAGTTCGCCTTATGTTCGCCCTATGTACTGTGATTTATGTGCATAAATAAATAACTTTCTCATTATATTTTCATGAGCAGATTTTTCAATTGTTGGATAACTTTTAACTAAAAAATAAGTTTGGCACATTGACAGTTTCAGCATGGGAAATAGTATGTCAAAATGAGAAGTTTATTCTTCAGCTAAAAGATAATAATTCTACCGATTGAAAAATCAGCCTTTATTAATTAAATGAATAAACATTGACTACCAGGTTTGCGGACTCAGAAAACTACTTCGAGTGGGTGAACGACCTGTCCAACCCGCACTATGTCATGGAATACCTGTTTCCGTTCGTGTCCACGCTGGATTCAGTGTTTGCAGCGCAGTTACTGCTCTGTATGTCCTTTGGGGGTTGGTTGAACTCTGTTATGAAGTGGTAAGTTAGTAATTGAACAAATTGTAAACCCAGAAATTGAATGGGCAATTTTAATACTGTACTGATTTTGAAAAATATTATGTAGGCACGTTAAGGTAAACATTGGCCTCTTAAGTAGTTGTATTAGGTGCTATTTTGAAACAAAAAGTCAAGCAAATAAGGTTAAAAATTGATGGGAACTATATTCCCACTTTTTGTTCCTAGCACAAGCAACATCTGTTGCTTAACAGGAAGCTCCAACAACTTGTAACAGAACTAGGCTAATTTAAAGAAATAAACGAATTTGAATTTGAATATACTATAATCCCACTTATCTCCTCAACTATTTTAACATCCACATATTTTATTGTCTTTTATAATCCATATCAAACAATTGGGCAGTTGCAGTTATTTAGCTTGTCTTCTGTTCTTATCAGTATTTTGTGACCATACTTTCCCAGGTGGTTGCTAGAAGACCGCCCCTACTGGTGGGTCCGTGAGACCTCATTCTACGAAGGCGCCCGTCGCCCGCAACTGAGGCAGTTTCGGCAGACGTGCGAGACCGGCCCTGGTAGCCCGTCAGGCCACAGCACCACAGTCGCAATGCTGCTACTGCTAGCTATCATGTGGATATCACATATCATGAACGACAGGTGAGCAGTTACCAGTTGACATCATTAGCTAGATCCCATATAGGTCGGGAGCCCGGCAGGCCACAGTACTACTGTTGCTATGCTGCTACTGCTAGCTATCATGTGGATATCACATATCATGAACGACAGGTGAGCAGTAACCAGTTGACATTGTTAGCTAGATCCCATATAGGTCGGGAGTCCGTCAGGCCACAGTACTACTGTCGCTATGCTGCTACTCCTGGCTATCATGTGGATATCACATTCATGAACGACAGGTGAGCAGTTACCAGTTGACATCATTAGCTACATCCTATGTAGGTCGGGAGCCCATCAGGCCACAGTACTACTGTTGCTATGCTGCTACTGTTAGCTATCATGTGAATATCACATTTATGAACGACAGGTGAGCAGTTAGCAGTTGACATTATTAGCTAGATCCCATGTAGGTCGGGAGCCCGTCAGGCCACAGTACTACTGTTGCTATGCTGCTATTGCTAGCTATCATGTGGATATCACATTCATGAACGACAGGTGAGCAGTGAGCAGTTAACATTATTAGCTAGATACCATGTAGCCATGTAGACCGGCCCTGGTAGCCCGTCAGGCCACAGCACTACCGTCGCTATGCTGCTACTGCTAGCTATTATGTGGATATTACATGACATGAACGATAGGAGATACTTCCTTTTTTACGCATGGTTTTACTTGCGATAAGAAACATGTGTAGAAGAGGCTCCTAAAAAGCAAAATATTTGATGATTTATAAGTACGATTTAAATAGTCAGCTACGAAACCAGGCGAAGTTCGTCACCGAGGAAACGAGATCAGTATGCCCAGCAGGATCGTGTGTTTAGCTCCACCCCTATAGCAAAACCTGGCATAGGTCTTAGTAAAAAAGACCAAACAACATGGTGAGAAGTAGTTGAGGAAGTTTCGGCAGACGTGTGAGACTGGTCCCGGGAGCCCGTCAGGCAACATCGGTACCGGTGATATTGTTGGCTATTACGTTTTTTTTAATGATGATGTAAAAGAAAAAAAAAATTACGGTTTGGCTTCTTAAAAAAAAACCCTTATAGGATCCCTTTTGTCACTCTGGTTTTTTTTGTACATCCATTATAAAAACTCATAAAATTCATTTATTTATGCAAATAGGCTTTTAAAAAGCACTTTTACACGTCCCAATATTAACCCTACCACTGCTTCGGGACAATAAATGGGCCAGTGCTGAGAAGAAGCAGCGCAAGAAACTTAATCACTATTTTTGTTAAATAAATCTTTAACTTTAAAATAGCCTTTGTTATTATACTAGGTAGGTACTTATAAAATGTTTAAATTTAATTTATTTTTTCCAGAAAGTGCTACATCTGGTGGTGGAAGTACATAGTGTACCCAGTGTTCGCGTGCGCGCTCGGCTCGGTGATGCTCGCGCGAATGTTCGTCGCCACGCACTTCCCGCACCAGACGCTCATGGGCGCTTTAGTGGGTGAGTGTACCCTTTAACCTACTCGTAGGCACAGGCACAGACCACCGATTTTTAGTTGGCCGATAGTTTGGTCGGGTTGTTGATCAGTATGGAGATGTATGAAATTGCGCACATTACACCGATTTGGTATCGGCCGATTCTTCATACAAATACATATATTAGAATCGGGCGCAACTATCGGCCAACTAAAAGTCGGTGGTCTGCGCCTAGGCTTAACGATCAACACCAGCTAAATTTTCCGTTGTTTTTGGAATTTGAGCCTTATGCTAAAGTAATAGAGCACAAGATTTAGCTTGCATCTCAACTAGTAACTTTGTTGGCGTACCTAATAAATAAATGTCAAATATGATGTCAAAGTAATATACAAAAATCATTCTCTATGATATTGTACCCATAATAAAATTTCATATGTTATGGGTACAATATCATACTTAACAATCATCAAGACTCAAGATTTGATCATCACCAAAATGTCATCACACAACCATTATCAAGTAAACAAACTGGTAAAATCTAGTATGTACTGATATAACGCCCGGTATAGTTCTTGAGCGTCCAACCATTGCCTTACCCGTTTCCTACTGACACAATGTAACGTAAAATCTCATGGTAATACCACCTCAGTGCGTCGCCTATGAAAACCATCAGAAACCGCGTTATCGCGCGTGTCTGAACTAGATCTAAGACTAGGAAATTTGAATGTCTTGCCTACGAAATCAAACCAGGTAAAGGACGTAGCACACCTATCAACCTGGAAAGGAATCGTAGCCGTATCAACTCGAGGCGGTCAGTATTTTTTGTATGAAACTCCATACTGCAACGCACACTTATCCGAACCGTAACGTAAACGCCTTGCCTCGCGGTTAATAGCGCGCGAAAGGCGATACGGTGTTGATCCCTTTCAGAGTTGATAAATGTGCTACGTCCTTTATACGTCAGTCCTAAAGCGCCTTGCTTTGACTGCCTTTGGTGACTTTTTCCTGTTTTGCGGATTTTACACGCACGCGGACAAGAGGTGCTATTGTGTAAAGCGATCGTATTCATTTGACAGTTCAAAACGTACGATAAAATCTGTTTATACACAATAGGGATGATGACTGGGTACCTAATGAAATCAAAATTCTATTTAGTCCGTCAGACAGCAAATAAAAAAATTTTGGACACATTTTTAATTTTTTTCACAATCGAATAATTACAGTATTATATTGAGTTTAAATGTCGCGTGACGTCACTTTTGAATAAAAAATCTACTCAAGCGTGACGTAACGCGCCATTTCAACTCGATGTAGCACTGTTATTTTTTAATTAAGAAAGAAAATAAAAAATATGAGTCTAATATTTTCTAATTATCTGTCTGACGGACAAATAATTGAAATTTTGTCATCTAGCCTCGCGTGCCCAAAATCCGAATCACAGGAAAAAGTCACTTACAGTATCTTAATCTGTCTTTCCAGGTTCCCTCTTAGCCCCAGCGCTTTGTATATACGTATGCGACCCATATGTCTGGGGCTTCGGTCCCCACGGGCGCTCCGACACGCGGCGCGCGGTGGCTTGGCACGTCTTCTCGGCGCTTGTCACGGTGGCCATTAGTGTGGTCACGTACTTCAGCTTGACATTATGCGGCTGGGACCCTCACTGGACTGTCAAACTGGTGAGTAAGAGAGTTAGTTGGATTGAACAGGTTGGGTAGCCACAGTGGCCATCAGACAGTGGCTATCTGAGAGCCACAGAGGCTAATAGCGTGGGCTCTAGTCGCTCATTAATAGCCATCAGATCTTAAATACACAGTGGCTATCAATGTGGGACTCAGTGGCTATGACAGTTAGCCACAGTGACCATCTGGGAGCCACAGTGGCTAATAGCGTGGAACCATTAGGTGTCAAATAGCCACAGTGGCTATCAACGTGGGACTTAGTCATTATTACGTAGCTATTAGATAGCCACAGTGGCCATTAGATAGTTACAGTGGCTATGATAGCTACAGTGTGTTATTAGCGTGTGACCATGGGGCTATCACAGAGCCACAGTGGCTATTACAGAAGGCTTTCTTAAATACACAGTGGCTATCAATGTGGGACCCAGTGGCTATGACAGTTAGCCTCAGTGGCTATCTCAGAGCCAAAGTGGCTATGACAGTTAGCCTCAGTGGCTATCTCAGAGCCACAGTGGCTATCTCAGAGCCACAGTGGCTATCACAGAGCCACAGTGGCTATCTCAGAGCCACAGTGGCTATCTCAGAGCCACAGTGGCTATCTCAGAGCCACAGTGGCTATCTCAGAGCCACAGTGGCTATCTCAGAGCCACAGTGGCTATCTCAGAGCCTATCCTTCAAAGAAAATTTCGACGGGTTCATCCAGTGTCTAAGTAGCTCAGTTGGAAGAGCAGTCGCCCGGCAAGCGATAGGTCGTGGGTTCGATTCCCGCCTTAGGAAGTTTGATTTTTTCAAGTTGTTTATTTAAAATATTTCAAATCTCTATCCTTTATAACTCTATAGGTTTTTTTTAATTGCAATTAGGCTTTTTAACCGTCGTTACACTAAGCCGTTGTCCCCAGGCCTTCCGCTGGTGCGAGAACCCTGAAGACATCCACGTGTCCACCACTCCTATGTACGCTCTGGTGCAGGCCACCGCTTCGATGCTTGGCTGGGCGCTCGCCGTCACGCCCGCTGTCGCTCAGTGAGTGATCATCATCATCATTATCGTCATAATCATCAAAACTGTCAAGGATTTGTCACACTGGATACTTCTTCTTCTTTTCGTGTCGACAACAAACCTACACAGTGTCAGCCCAAAACTTCGCCACAAGAGTGGCGTTGTCAGTAACACTCATCAAATCCTCCTGAGTGCAGTTGCTTGGGCACTCAGGGCATGACATCAGGTGCTTTATCGACTGGGGAACAAAACCGCACCCACACTCAATGCTCAAGCCATCCAAGAATCCCTACCTGGCCAGATTGTCCTTACTACGGCCAACCTGCGTCCGAAGTCTATTTAAAGACTAGATACTGATATACTGAGTGCAAACAGCACTCTAAAGTACGGCCAACTAGCAGCGATACAAAAGGTCGATTCGACTGTCGAACTGACAATCTATTCTGTCTCTTCCCATCTCGTGTATTTGTCGTAATGTCTCGTTCTCCCGCCAAAATATAGAATAGAATAGAATAGGTTTATTGACACATTAAAAGACACAATACAGAAAAAAATACACAAAAACAGAAAATAATACATAAGCTATAAATAAATATGTCAAAGTCAAACCCCTGCTATTCCAAATGACCATGACATTGGGTTTGTTTACATTTGGTATCGCTTCTCGTTGGCCGTACTTTACATCAAATTGATAACCGTTTGCCTTGCCTCAACCGCTGAACGATTGCCCTGACCGACAATGTTGTTCATACATGATGCGGGCTCGGGACTATACCCACCTCTCGTTCCCACCGCTGCAACTCCCAGTAGCCAGGATCTAGATCTATCATCAGTGCATGTCAAGTTTGTCCCGGGGAAAAAGGAGTTGTCCCAATTTCGGCCCGGAGGTTGTACGCCATATCAAAAATCAAGAAAAATCTACTGATTAAGGGAAAAATATAAATAACTATATCTAGCATATAATTTAGCCGCTCAAAATCAAAAACTATTCATGAATTATCATTCTCAAATGCATACACAAGATGGCGTATGGCGTCAGATAAAAAAAAAAGATGAACCATAGACTAACTAAACGTCAGTCGCTGTCAGATTTCATCTGTCACTCCACCAAGATACGACTTAATGTCAAAAGTGACAGATGTCATCAAAATGACATTCGTCCACCATGATGGTTTTTGTGGTTGAGTATTGCTATTTTCTTAACAATCTTTTGTTTTAAGCGAAAAAACTAAGCCATTTAAAAGAAATTGAATAATAAGAAACTGTTGTACATTTAAAAGCCCTTCTTTTTGGTAGGTGTACAGGTTGTGGGCCTAGGCTCCATACATTTTGGGACAACTCCTTTAATTGTCTTTGGACCCGCAACGACATTAATCAGAACATGATCAGATGACATGATGAGAGGCTGCGTTCACTTTGATCTGACCGCAGAACTTATCCAGTGTGTTATATCCTTTATATTATAATCTTCATACATTCTATTCTCTTTCTTCTCTTCATCAGATCGTTTTTTAACATACAAGAAGATTAAAGTGCCACTTCTCTGTTCTATTATGTTTAATTAAAATATATTTCAATTTCTTTCCAGGTTCCGTCACTACACCAAAAACCGTTCGCTCATACTGTCCGGTTTGGCTATGTACCTACTCTACTGTGGCACAAGACACCTCCAAGAAAACATAGACAAAAACAGCACCCTATGGTTCTACTCTATGCAGTTTTTACTAGCAGCTGTCAGACCGTTTTTGTACCTTCGAGTTGTACCCACAATATCTATGTTACCGTACCCTAGTGTAGGTACAGGTAAGCACAAAAGGGAATAGGCAATTTTTAGTATAATAGTCCATTTTTAACTTACTCAAATAAGGGGTTTTTTGATTCGGTTGTATGTTTTATTTAGCTTAAAATAACAGACTAAAATGTCTTTTTAGATTAAAAATATTGCGGCAGTTTTTCAAAATGTTGCTTTTGTGCTTTTTCACTATTAATTTTTATTGATAAAGTGTATTGTAACTTTATTTTGATTGTTATTACATATTTAAGGTTCGTTATTGTAAATGATAGCAATAATGATTTTATACCAGTAGCTTAGTTGTTATTTCATTTTATAGTATATGCCAGTCGACGGCATCTCAATTTCAAGAATTTTGAGCCTTTTACGCCTTTAGAATAATGCTTAAAATCAAATGACAAAAATTTGGATGTTACATTTATTTATTGTTGACTGTATAAAATAATTTTATTAATATACTCACGCAATTTTTTAACGGGTTCTTTGGTACAAATTCTGTGATATTTATAATTATTTTATGATTTTTATGTAAATATAGTATGCATATGGCAATATAAATACAAAGATGTTGACTTCTTACTACTAGACAGGCTGTGCTGAACTGAGAAAGAAAGAAAAAACATTTATTCGGTATCAAGACGAAAAATTCAAACAATTTTTTAGCGTTGCATCTCCAACAGTTTTTTTTATAATTTAAAAAATCTAATTGCCCAAAGTGGAAATTGAATGCACTAAAACTAAGTTGTTGATTAGTATCAAATTCACGACTTCTTTCTTACGCTTGTTATCGACTATGATGTTGGTATAGCCTGACCAGGAACATAAAAACCCTGGCATAGAGGCGCGTCAGTTGCATTGGAGAGTGCAACACTGAGTACAGTCGTACCTGTGTTAAATTAATAGGCTAACTTTATGTATCAGGATTCAGGATTACGGGTTAATTTGATATTTTCATAAATTAACGAAAACATATTATTATATGTAACCTGGTTTAAATAAATTAAATAAAACCATCAATCGAGCTAGTAGGATTTATTTTATTATTCATCAATAATCAAATTCAGAACTTGAATATTCAACTGCAATATCTGCTCATGAACGCTTCAAACTCGGTACTTCTTTCCCAATTCCATAAAATTCAACACAACAAAAGTGACAAAAAATTTAAAATAGGTAGTTGAAACAAACCACAGCTAATTTTCATAGTGGACTGTACTATACGATAAACATGTCAGTCAATTTGACAACCTTTGTCGGAAACATTATTCAATGAAAATATTGTCCGAATCCTTAGTATTTCTCTTCGACAAATACTTTAACACATTGTGAACCACTTTTCTTTCACGACTATAAAAAGATTTTAGCAATTTAATTCACAAAATCAGTTGCGTACATTTAAAATAAAGTTTGTTTACACTTTGACAGCAATAGACTGACGTGCAAGGTGACATGTCAATGAAGTTTTCAGTTACTGTTGCCATTAAAAGAAATTAGTACCATTAGTTTTCCGCAACATGGCGAGGGTTTTTATGTTCCTGGTCGGGCTATACCCTGTATTGTTGTACCCATAATATTTGTACCTTTGTGCATTATGGGTACAACAGAACTGATTTGAAAATTTCCTTAGATAGGTACTTATCAATAACTGAGCAAGATTTCCGTTCAGTACAGCCTATCCAGTAGTACATAATCCCAACTAATATTATAAATGCGAAAGTAACTCTGTCTGTCTGTCTGTCTGTCTGTCTGTCTGTCTGTCTGTCTGTCTGTCTGTCTGTTACGCTTTCCCGCTTAAACCTCGCAACCGATTTTGATGAAATTTGGCATAGAGATAGTTTGAGTCCCGGGAAAGAACATAGGATAGTTTTTATCCCGGTTTTTGAAACAGGGACGCGCGCGATAAAGTTTTTCTGTGACAGACAAAATTCCACGCGGGCGAAGCCGCGGGCGGAAAGCTAGTGTACTATAATTTACATACGGTATATGTTTGTGTTGTTCCTTTAAATTTAAATGACAAGTATTGAAATCCAAAGAATAAAATGGTAAAAATGTCACAAAACCTTAATATTCTGCAATCGTTTTCTGCCTACACAAAAAAGAAGAAGATTTTTTAAAACTTTTATTGGTGCTCAAGGATCATTCCTTATCTATGTCACAGATTTTTTTTCCATGACGAATAATTGTATTGTTCTGCATTTGCACATAAAAACAGAAACCATTTTATAATAAACACTAATGTTGTTAAAATGCGTTTTATTTTTACGAACTTTCAGCTTTCTTCATTTCAGTTGTCTTGTCATTAGGTTATGTTAGAATTTCTGTAAATTCAGGCAATGAGGATCATTTCGATTTTTAGCTGTGAATGCAGATTTATAGGGCTAAGAAATCCTTAATACACAGTCCAAAAATTTTTGTTCTACGACAAAAATTGACGAAGTTATGGCCAAATTACTAAAAAAGTTCACAGCCCGCCCGGCGCGGGGACGATGACGTCATTATATCCGATCCGAACGCTGCCGGCGTACTGCGTGGATAGAAAATATTTTTTTCTAGCCAAACTATCAGTTTTAGAGAAAAACTTGTAATGACATTTATTCATCAGAATAAAGTAAGCTATCGATAGGTAATTTTTAAAAATAGAAATTGTGAAAAATAACGCAAAAAATCCATACGCTCATACGATTCAATGGAACGCAGAGACGCGATTGGGGTCTCCGCGGTGGTATATTTGGCGATTTATTCAAATAAAGTGTTCATAAGTGTTGTTAGAGTCATATCTTCTTCCAAGTAAAATATAAAAATGTATAAGTATTAATTTATTTACTTCTAACAATAAGGTATAGCTGAGGCAGATACACTCTGCCTAGGCTACAAGACATTGCTATGAAGATCATTTCGATGTACACGCAATACCTACCTGTTATTTAGTTTTTCTGAGTTAAACCTACGTACCTACCTATCTATTCGCCGTTCCCATGGGCGGGCCAGCTGCTGCAGGAAAGGACAGCTGCTCCCTCCTGGAAATCTATTTAATCTTAGCCTAGAAGCTGGGTATGACTCCCCCGCCCCCCTCCTCTCCCCAGGTCATAAGCTGGGCATGACTTCCCCCTCGGCCAGAAGTTGGGTATGATTTACCCCCCCCCCCCCCCCAGGCCCGAAACTGGGTATGACTTGACCCCTCCCCCTCCCCCCAGGCCAGAAGCTAGGTAAGGCTTGCCCCTACCCCCAGGCCATAAGCATAAGCTGGATATGACTCCCCTTCGGCCAGAAGCTGGGTATGACACCCCCCCCATGCCAGAAATGCCAGAAACTGGGTATGACTTGATGATTATTATGTTCAATACCAACAATCATTAAGTTACACTCACCCCAACCGCGTCTCCGCATTGCATCGAATCCTATGAAAATGTGGTTTTTGGACATAGCAATACTTATTTTTCACAATTTTTATTTTTAAAAATTACTGGTCGATAGGTTACTTTATTTTGAAGAATAAATGTTATTAAAAGTTTTTTTCTAAAACTGATAGTTTAGCCGGAAAAAAATATTTTCCATCCCATTAGTACGCCGGCTGCGCTCGATTCGGATATAATGACGTCACGCGGCCTTGCGTACGTTGACTTTTAGCGGCAAAAACGGCCTATGTTTATTACTTAATATCTTCGTAAGTAATGGTCCGATTTGGATAATTCAAAAAGATATATCTTTCTTATGTCTTAAAGATTAACGTAGATACTAGTTTTATTGAATTTTCTACAACAGTACTGATCCTCATTTAGAAAAAAGCATGTAGTGTATCTGTACCTTGTGCATTGATTCTTTATTGTTCAAAATTACCCAAGATGACTGTATTATTATTAGTGAGATTAAGATTCTGCCCAGAGATGAATAAAAACAAGTAATCTGAAAAACAATAATTTATTTACCCCGACTGTTCACGTTCAAAGTAAAACGACAATTTAAAACCTTTCCTTTTCCTTGATAGAGAAAAGACATCACGTAAAATGGTCAAACATTTCCAAGAAATATTCCTTGCTTCTCTGCAAAGCAGAACTCCCATTTTTGGACAAATTCCCATTTCGCGACACGTCTGTGTCGCTAAAGATCCTTTTTGTAATAAAAATGTTTTTCAAAAACTCCTTTTTCTGTTTCCTTTTACTCTGTGGCGTGTGGATGACAGGTGTCACTTTTTTCCCGCCTTTTTTTATTTTTTTAACTCTCAGCCGCTCGATTCGGACATTGGAATCAAATTCTGTGTCCATTTCAGAAAATATTTTGCTCGATTGAACCGGCGGTTTTGGCTTAAAATTCATGAATTTTGGAGCTCTAGCTTTGGATAATTCTGTGGATAAATCCGAGGGCTTTGTTTCAGTTAGTCCCTCACTGATTGGCGCTTGGTTTCGGCTTCCACTGATTGTTTTTGTGATATCCGAAGATTTGTGTATGGGCGCAATCCGGTCTAATGGGAAACAACACATAACTTTTGTACAAATCATGACTCTGTAGACGAAACTCTTGAAAATTTTGACCACAACAGCACTTTCATCGGACATTTTCTAATTTTAATTTACATGTTTGTAAAATATTGAAATTTGACATTTTGAATGTAGAGTCAAATGATTGACACTGCTAGATAGTGTGACTGATTTTTTTTTCAAACCAGTTTTCTTTAGAAAGAAGGTTAGCTGTAGCATTTTTTGGATTAAATATCCAGGGACTCTTATCTCTAACCATCCATATCGGTTCAGTGATTTACCTAGTGTGAATAGGTGCCTCTAACAATTTGTTATAATATTTGTATGGATTTAAAAAGTGAGTCGACATAAATTATAAGTAGGTATGTAAGTTAGGGATGTTTCCCTTTTCCTTCTTAGGCCTGGTTTTCACCAAGGCGTTGTGGAGAGAAGTGGACATAATGAAATCTGTTTGGTTAAACACTTCTCCGTTCTGCTCCGCTTTGGTGGAAACCGGGCCTTAGTATGGCCTGGAGCTGGACTTAATAATAATCGGCTGTAGGAATCATGATCAAAGGCATTCGAGTGGACATTCGATCCCGATGGCGCATTTAGGTTATCATTTGATACGATAACGGAAAAGCTTCCAAACTTAATTAAAATTGTGTTTTCATAATCAAACTATGACTAGTTCTATAGATTTGCTTTACTTGCTAAAGTTAAAGCCATACGTTTGGATGTCAGGCACTTTTATAGGTGAGTATTTCGACTTACAAGAATTGTCCATAGAAAAGTCTAAAGGAGATAGGTATGCAGTGGTAAAGAGAAAGTTATACTGGGACGTGTAAGTAAAAGTGATTTTTAGAAGCCTAAAGAATTTTCATTTTCGGTGTATTTTTTAAATTCCCTGAATCACAAGAGGGAAGGGAGGATAAAGTTCCAAAATTTACAGGAATGGCTAAGTACCTAGGTACGACTGCTAGTTTAAACAAAAACAAACCATCATCATCATCATTACGGTTCGGAACAAACTGCATTGAATCTATATTGCATGTTGTGTCAGCCTATAATTGTTGTTGCATTGTAACTTTGTTCATAATTGTAATTTTTAAGTGTACATGTTGTAATGCTTAGATTAATAAAACCTAGATAGATAGTCAGTGCACGAAAGGTGAGGCAGATTTTAGTAAGCCAGAATGGCTTACTCGTAAACGTCACATGAACTGTCAAAGTGAAAAATTGGTAAACACGTCCGACGACTTTTAATTAATTAAGACGGTTTGTGCTGTGAAAGGGTGTCTAAATACATCAGAAAAACTAAAGAAAGTGACCAGTGTTACATTTCATAAGTAAGTACTACGATTCGACGCGTATTTTGCTTGAATTTGGCTTTCAAAAATTAAATACGGGAATGATACCAGTAACAAGAAAATTTATTTCCCAATTGTTCGCCGTACAAATACACTTCCTTTTTTTATGAAATCGAGACTTTTCAGTCGATTTATCTTATTGTAATTAGGTAGGTACTTTGAATTCAATAAATAAGTAAGTACATGATGCGTTTTGTTTTTGTTAGTTATAAAATAATTAAAAACGTATTAAAAATTTCCCTACTTTCGGGAAAATCGCCTTCACTGTCTACACTCCCCAACAAAATTGACACTAATGACATAAGATTTTTGCCTCACTCTTGACGAAGCGTTTGTATGAAGACTATCCATCTAGGTTTTATTAATCTAAGTTGTAATGTAACAATGTTGGTAGACCTAATAAATAAATAAATAAATAAATAAATTTCAGCTATAGGACGTCCACTGCTGAACATAGGACTCCCCCAATGATTTCCATGTTGACCAGTTGGTACCGGCCGCGGTCTGCCTCTAGCGCAGAAAATCAGAATTCAGGATCAAGGATTCTACAAATGCTGAAAATATTTTTTTAAATAGGTCCAGTACTTTTAGAGCCTTCAATTACAAACAAACAACTAATCCCTCTTTATAATATTAGTGTAGATTTAGTACTTTTATAGATAAAAATAATGATAAGTGCGATTTCCGTTCTGCCTAAACAAATCGTCATTTTCATGGAGTCGACCCAATGAGCTGTAAGGTTCACAATGTTCTATGAGAAAGTCGTGGTGGGACCCCCGAAGTCGTTTTCTTACTCTGATCTATTGGAATATGTAAGTAAAACCATATTTAACATGTTTATTTAAATTATTTATCTATTGAGGCTTTGCACTGAAGGGAAGTCGAACCTTAACTTAGAACTCCTCCTTAAGTTCTTCTGATTTTCGTTGCGTGTCCAATGACAGTTCTTTCTCCCGGGACACGTTGCGTGTCCAGTGACAATTTAACTTTCCCCCGGAACAAACTTGACCTTCACTAGTTGGGTTTTTATTGGCGGTCAAGCTGTGGATCCTGGCTACACAGGAGTTGCAGCGGTGGGAACGAGAGGTGGGAATAGTCCCGTTATCTATTAAGGAAGAAGCCTACCTTGGAATTATCATCAGGTCATTTTAGTCTCCAAGAGTAGTTACCCTCCTAACTTACCAGAGGCAAATGGAGGATTTGGCCTACAATCCTCACGCTGGCCAGACGGCTAGTTCAGTTTTGTAGGTTCCACTAAAACTGGACTGTCGAGTGAACTCACTCACAATATGTGCGTTTGAAATTCGAATTAAAAATTCGAATGGATCGGTTTTTTGTGGGACACTGCAAACGGGATGTTTGAGTGAACTAAACAGGATCCTGATAAAAACAGGTCTGCAAAAAACGGGATATCTCCGTGGGAACAATGGTTTCATGTATTTGTTTTGCGGTATGCAGATATGCTAAAGACAATTTTTCGACTCTAGGTAGAGACGCTCCTGAAAGAATCAAAGTCATATGAAGAGAGATCGATGGGCAAGTCTAACTACAGCTGGCTGCGGTCCAGGAGTCTGGAGGTCTCTCCGTACAGCCAGGAGCTGGAAAAGTTCAAGCCTGTGGTACGGAAGGTGAGAAGAACTATGTACAGATTTAATTCTTAGTAAAGTTTCGGAACCTGGAGTATGAAACTTGAGTACCTAGGTACTTAGTACTGAAGTAATTTTGAAGCCTGTAGTACGAAAGGTTAGTTCTTTGTACAGCTATGAGTTTGTCCTAAAAAAGTTTTGAAGTCTGTTGTTATACATGAGAGACATACTGAGCCAGTCATGTTTGCTTTGACAGATGTCATCCGAGAGCTGCGCCGTTATAGCTGTCAAACTTGACAGCATGGATGTCAAAACACCCACAGAAATCCTGGTGGCGTTCAAGAACATTCTGGAAGAACAGTACAGCATCCAGATGTTTGAGGGAAACGTGAAGCGTGCGAAAGAGACGAAGAATAGTAAAAAGAGAAGAAACAAGGTCCACCCTGAGTTGCTGCCACCGGGACGACAAGCCACAGTGTCTTTTATTTTGAACTAGCAATCTGCTATTTTAAACTAGCTATCCGCCATACTTAAATTTTGAACTAGTGAGTCGCCATTTTGAACTAGCGATCCGCCATTTTGAAAGAGTGAGTCGCCATTTTGAACTAGCTGCCCGCCATACTTAAATTGCGATCCGATATTTTGAACAAGCGATCCACCACTTTGAACTAGTGATTCGCTATTTTATACTAAGTACTTATTCACCAAATTGTATTACCTAATTAGATAGTATATCTGTCAATTTCTTTATGTAGGTATTCGTACTATCTACGTCGATTTCTTATAACTTAACTTAATACACAAACTTTTTTGTTTCCAGTAACTTAGGTTTATGTAGCTACTTAAATATGGTCTACCTTTCTTTAGTGCAATGCGAAATCATACCAATCCATACCTAATTAAGTAACTCGCCATGTAATTACCTACGCAGTAGTTAGATAAAAGATACACTTGGGAAAGATGAATTACTTATTATTCACCCAGTTTAACCCTTTCATCAGCATAAACCTCAAGTTATCCCAATAAAGTTCAAAATAATAGCAATAATCTAACCACTGCCTGCCTAGGATGCGCGCCGCGATGTAATCTTATCATCGATTTCAGACGACAGATGTATGGACTTGTCGTCTAGAATCGACAAAATGCCTCTACAAAACGACATAATTCACATTCTAGGCTAGTAAGGGTTAACTAATCCTATAATTAAACAGTAATTTCCAATTATTTCTCGAATAATCCACGTGTGGAGCCCCGTGACGGCGATTAGTCGACAAGCGCGTGCGCAACACGCTGCAATATTTGGGGCGTGAACTGTTTCACACTTACACTGAAGAATGGATGGTTCAACTACACTGGGCTGCAAAGAAAAAGGATAATAAATGTCAAATAAATAATAATAAATAGTTTTACCAGTATGTTTTGTTTCATAAAGCTAGGTCAGCATGAACAACTTTCGTCTTCGAATCGTTTGCGTATTCGACAAAATTCGATACTCAACCTTCGAATTAAACGATAACGTGACAATTTTGATTCTCAAAATAAGTTTCGTGCAAACATTTCTCATACTAAGTTCACTTTACGACACGTTCACAAGGGCGCTGTTGTAGTTTTCGTACTAAATCTTTTGATGGCGATTCGAATACGCAAACGATTCGAACTCGAAAGTCACTTTTAAAGAATTTGAGATTTTCTTAGGTTCGGTGTAATTTTTAACTGACTTCAAAAAAGGAGGTTCTTCAGCTCTATGAATGACATGTCTTGTCTTAAAATTATGTATTTCATTAAACAAATTGGTTTTCAGTTATTTCAGTAAGGCTGTTTTTCGTGCATAAATCGACTCTATTCTTTGCTAAGAGCTACTAATTTTGTTGAAAAAAATTGTTAGCGAGTCTAATAATTTTAATTTCAAACAGCTTGTCTTATTACTTGGGATTCCTTCACATATTGTTCAATCTAGTCATGAAAAATATATTATTATTTCATGTCAACTTAGCTCAGAAATAAATCTTACCTACATATCGAGTTTCAATAACAATCTTCCACAATCACCTCATCGAAAACATAAATCAATTTGTTGATAACTCGTTAAAAATATTTATTAAAATCTTCAGATTAACTTTTTAAGCTGTCCTTATTTAAAATGAAGCTATCATTTTGTGTTAAGTGTAAATAAATCAATATGTTAAGTTTTTACGGTCCATTAAAATGGACGCGGTCGTGCATCACTATGGACATCGACAATATCGACATGTCGCGGCAGTAGTGATGTGCAAGTGCAAAATATTGTGGGACAGATTTTTGGAAAGTAACTCACATTTAAACACAATAGGACATTGGGACATCTACATCTGTACAAACGACTCTACTTTTAATTATTTTTAATTTAACGACAATTTGACAACACACAGTTTCAGAAACAGTACGAAAAATTATGAAAGTAAACTGGGCAGAGGGACTCAAATGCAGTTTTGAGGTGACCCAAAATAACGAAGGCTCAATAACCGTAAAATAAATATGAGATCGATTTACTCAATTATGTTTGCGAACAAGCGACCTAAGATATTTAAAATCTACAGGCGGAGTACTTGTGGTAAGTGTCAACTACCGGGCTACCTGTGTCCAATGAGACCCAAACATTAGCATTTTTAAATAAAAGACCACAGTATTGTTTTCAGAATCAATCAAAGATCACTTCCAAGTGACAAGTTCGCATATGGTGCTATTTTATTGAGCCCCTAGTTATTGTTACTTTTGTGTTGTCTCAAATCTAAAAATTCTTTTACAAAAACGGGACGTCCCAAAAAGAAATAAGAACAAGTTACATCACTACAATATTGAGCCCATACGTTATCATCATTATAGCGACCATAAAGATAGTTATTACACCGCAATATTCGCGTCAAGGGTGTCCGAATATAGCGCGGTCTCGCAAATTGCCGTCCGGGTAGGGTTGCCACTTGGTGCTTAATTTGGCCAGACATTTTACCCTAAAAGCCGGACATTCATTCGTAGAACAAGGCTTGAATTCGCAGAAAATAATTTTAATGTGCGAAATTTTTGGTCCTTTTTTTGGTATCCCCCGAGGCCCTCAACACGTTAGCACATAAGGCCCTGCAGGTCAATCCAAGTTATTCAAATTTATGTATGCGAGTCATTTCTACTAGTATCTTAATATGTAAGATACTAGAATACAAATCCCATAAGGGCTACCTTTTTCTTTTTTTTTATTATTTTCTATTGACGTTCATAAGTGCCACTTGTGGTCTAAACTGAATAAATATTTTTGATTTTGATTTTGATTTGTAAGTCTAGATATTAGCACGTCACTACCTTGTTTAATATACCACGCAATCTTGTATACCCATTCTTATAAGATACACCATACAAGAATGCATGGTAAATTCAGTGAACTGCTCCTGAATCGAATGTACCTACTACTACTATTTCTATTTATTTATATTAGCCGGCAGACAGTGGTGACGTGACTGAGTTTGTTGCGGCGCTTCTTCTCAGCACTTGCCAAATGTTGGTCTCGAAGCGCTGGTAGGGTAAAAAGATTATGAGACATGTAGAGGCTCCTTAAGAGCAAAATGACGATTTGTAAGAACTATTTATTAGTCCAAACAAATAAAGAAATTTTGACTTTGACTTTGACTTTGCAGCCACATAAAAAGCCTAACAAAAGCCGGATTTGCCGGACGAGAGAATATTTAGTCGGACACGTCTAAAACCGGACATCGGGCAACCCTATGGCGACAGAGAAGAGAGGAGTGTCTTTTCAAAAGGGGATACCTACATTCTATCTTATTTTTCACAAAATGGGAAAAACTTATATGGGAAATATTGACAGACCTACCGAAAAGCATTATTTCTGTTATGAAACTATTTCATTACAGTGTTCTAACTACACTTTTTGCCAAAAAATATGACTTGTTAATTTAAAGTTACAGAGTTCAGAAAAATCATAATATCCTCTTTTGACACGGATCTTTTATAATATCCCCCTTTGTTCTGTACTTACTGTAAATATCCCCTTTAGTTGAGCCTACTATTTTGTAAGCAAATAAATGAATATGAATATGAATATGAATATGAATATGAATATGAATATGAATATGAATATGAATATGAATATGAATATGAATATGAATATGAATATGAATAAATATCTTATTTTGTATTGTACATCTCAAGATTTTAAATGATAATAAAACACAGATTATTTTTTTTTTAATAATAATAATGACCAAAATTAAAGACGCTACTAAACAGAATTATATTTTTTTAATTATTAGACATTCAAATCCTGAGCCCCGATTACGGTAACTTTTATAACGTCTACAATCGAGACGCGTTTCTGATTCTGCGATACGATTGGTCAAAACAGCTGACGTACGCTGTTGAACGACCAATGGTATCGCAGAATCGAGAAGCGTGTCTGGATTGTTGACGTTAAAAATTACCGTAATCGGGGCTCTGATTTGTCCAATATCAGGTGTCAGACAATCACACAACATAGATTTCGTTTTACGTTAATTTTGCGTTCCGTTCTACAGAGTAAAATGTCTAAAAATAAATCCTAAAGCATAAAGTTAAAGGAAATAAAACACTATGTAAAAGTAAATATCCCGTTTTGAGACGGCTAATTGGTATAGTGTAAATATTTGTATTGTAAATATCCTCTCTTGTTATGAAATGAAAAATAACTATTATTTTTTTAATTTTGTAAGTGTAAATATCCTGTTCTGAAATGAACACTCATATTTGAAGCTGCTTTACTTGGGAGAATATCCCGTTTTGATTAAGATTCAAGTGACGAAAGTGAGTATTCAGCACTAAGAACAAGACTGCATACTCAGTTTAATAAATAATAAAAATGTAAATATCCCCTTTTGAATAGACACTCCTCATAATGACTTCCCGATCTGTCACATTTTGATAAGTGGGTTTACACACGTTGTAAATTAGCATGAAATGGGATGAATATTTGCGGTTGCGGCGTAAACGAACTAAAGTCGCTGACATAGCCCGACGGATAAGCAAGCTGAAGTGGCAACAGGGCACATAGTACGCAGAACTGACGGCCGAGGGGCAGCAAGGTTCTGGAGTGGAGGCCGCGTACCGGAAAACGCAGCGTGTGACGTCCACCCACAAGGTCCGACGACATCATAAAGGTAGCAGGAAAGCGCTGGACGCAGGCCGCTACCAACCGGGTAACATGGAAAGCATTGGGGGAGGCCTATGTTCAGCAGTGGACGTCCTATGGCTGAGATGATGATGATGATTTGCGGTTGGTTACGGGTTTAAATCCTGCTGGGGGCAGTGAGAGCGAGAGTGAATAAATAAATAACCTAAGACATTTTACACTAGTCCCAAACTAAGCAAAGCTTGTACTATGGGTACTAGACAACGGATATAAACATACTTAAATATTTTTTTTTGTAATACATACTTATTATACATAGAAAACACCCAGTCCAATACAAACAAATATGTTCATGCACACAAATGTTTGTACAGTGCGGGAATCGAACCCGCTACCTCCGGAATTATAGTAGTCCGTTTCGAACCACTACACCAAACGGCCGACGAATAAACACTTACAGGGAAGTTCCAAGATTACCTCACTTAACACCAGGTGCGATTGCGGTCAAATAGTTCTGCATAAAAAAGTTCCAATCATGGATGTACAATATTTAATTGAATAGGTCTAGCTCTAGCGCTTAGTTCCTGGTATGGGAGCGGTATGGGAGGATGTTTAAAACAAAGATCTAAGATAAAAATAATAATCAGAATCGAGTGGTCCTGTTCTACTCAGACTCTGCCGGCATCACACGGCTATAAAATCGGTTCTAATTTTATTAATTTAACGGTACTATTCCCACCTCTCGTTCCCACCGCTGCAACTCCTGTGTAGCCAGGATCTACAGCTTGACCGCCAATAAACCAACCAGTGAAGGTCAAGTTTGTCCCGGGGGAAAGTTAAACTGTTAGGTATTTATTAATCTAGTTAAAACACTATAAAACTCTTTTTTTCCTCAATTAAATACCTAGGCAGCCTATAAAAATCTTGCGCACATTAGCACAGTAATTTTTCGGACCGTAATGACATCTTAAAAATACTGGACGCATAAACCTTTCAGTAATGCCGAAAGCCATATATTAAAAGAAAAAAGCGTTTTGGCGGGAAATGTCAAGTTTTTTTTTAATACGATGGATGGAAACACAGACTTGGCCTTGGCTAAAATATCAGATATGGATATCGGGCAGGACGCCACTTGTTAATGTCGTTGCATCAAAGAGGTTTATGCTGAAGAGAACCAAGATGCAAGGTATTTTTTGGTAACAAATATTTTGAAGCCTTTTTTTGGAACAAGACCGTGGAAGTGGATAATTTCTATCGACTATTTTGTATTATCATGTTTATGAGCAAATAAATGATTTATTATTATTTATTTAAAAGTGATTTTAGTTTATCATACGTCTTTAAGAATATTTTTGTCTGTCATCTGTTCGACAGTCATAAAATTATAAAGTTTTTTGATTCCTAATGGTGCCCATAATCTTTATTAATTTCACTTATTTCTTGATAGGCTATTTTTTTTACTGGCTTCATTTCACTCGATGTTAATTAATTAATTAAAGTAATTAGCAATTGCTAAGGTCTCTGCCATTGAATCAACCTTCCTGATGGTGCTGGTCTCTGCCAAATGTGGCGGTTGTGATAGTTCACCAAGCCAAGCTATGTTAGGTAGCATTCCGAACGTAGCCAACTGCCAAACGTAGAAGGTATTGATAATTTCAAAAAACATTATATTGTATTGGATGTTGCTAAGCTCACTGTTGATATGGGCTCTTTTCCCCGAGTTAACTGCGCACCTGGCAGCTATGACGTCACATCGACGCTCTGGTACGAACGGGGCGGCTTGTAGTTTACATACGCTTATTTAGTAACTTCTATGTCTTTTCGTTCTCTACATAGCACTTTCATTAGTGTGGCTTTTAGATCTAATCAATGCTGATTAAATCGATAATTAATTAACGATCTGACAAATTCCTTGTCAATCAGCTGAGGTATTAAATCATTTACATAAGAATTGACAGTAAACACATTTATACCTACAACCAAGGATATTTAATTCCATTAGCATAATAATTATGTATTTTTGTCATTGATTAAGATTTTCATTGAGTATTTATATTTTTATATCATTAAGTAGCCGATGACTTTTAAGTACCACTAAACTAGCTTTTATTTAGTTCTAACAATTGGAGCTAGTTCGTTGATTATTGATCAGAATTAAGTATGATTGTTAATAAATAGTACCTACTTATAATCGCTGAATAAGTAGGCCTCTCTTAACTACTGTACACTTATTTTTAGAGGATCCCTAAGGAGGTGCCTTTTTACCAGTAAAATAAAGGATTGATTATGTTAATTTGTTAAATAATAAATTCTTGCTTCACTTCAACATTGCACATCCAATAAAAAGTATCCGCAAGTGACGATCCATTTCACAAAGCTCAATTCGAAGAAAAATTCACATCAATTTAATGTATCCTCGCAAAACACATAATCCACCTTATCTCCTCAAGTTAAGGTTACTTATCGAACGCTCAGAGCAATCTTGCCAAGTATGGTGAAGTCGATTTTTTATTCTTTTTTATCGCTTAATTAAAATGCTTCGAGTATCAAGATCGATACAGCGTCGTATTAAATTCATTGGTAAATAAAGTATTATTTTCTGCAAGCAATACTTTACTTTGTTTCTTGTGTATCATACAGGGTATCCCAGAATGGGTTAATCAAACTGATAGGGGAGGTAGCTCTACTAATGTAGGTACTATCCAGCGTTGCCAGTTTTTTTTTTCGCGGGATTTTTTACAAACAATAATGCACTGTTAATAACATACTCGTAAAGTAGGCCTAGTAGATCAATCATCATTATTATTGCTAGTAGACTACTGTTATGTAGGCAATTAATGTTAGGGCAGTGGTAATAAAAGTGGAATTACAAAAAAAATGTTTATTTACAATTGTAATTTACAAGTTTTTACATTCCAAATGCAAAATTGCTAACATCAAACATCAACGCATTTATTTACATTTCTTTGCAATCATTATGGCAGTGGTTTTTTTAGAAACATTTGCTAAAACAGATTTCACTAAGCATTTTGTTATCTATGCGTTAGGTTTTAAAAAAATAATATGTCAGATTGACGTTTGAAAAGGCGGGAAAGGTCTGGCATTAGCGAATGTTTCTTTTTTTTCAAATCTGGAGAGACGCGCGCTTTTTTTTTTGTTGTTCACCAGCAGTAGGGGTAGTTAGGACAGAGAGCCGCGGGGAAATCGGCCGGGTAGCGGGGAGCGGCGTTGTGGGCGGGGCTGTGAAAAAGAAAGAAGTTTGGTTATTTTTTTAAACATGTTTTATACTTTTTGCGGTACTGCTGAACGTTATTTGCAATCTATTTTGGACAGGAACCTTCTTAGCGTTAAATCTACTGCGATGAAGTCAGTATTAGATAAAACTGTTGTCTCTACTGTAGAGAATATTAATGTCGTGATATCTATCTTCGCTAGTAGGAATAGATTAGCTAGATTTTTGGGGCAAATAAGACTCAGCGGGGTAAATGAACCAAAGACTCATTTCAAAGCCCCACTGGTAGGATACTGGTATCGCAGTAGGGGTAGTTGGGGCAAATGAACAAAAACTCACTCCACACGGGCAACCGTTAGGATGCTGGGGTTGTATATGTATGGGGTTGTATCCATTCGGTGATGGGCTGTCCGTCGGGCGTGTGGCGGGCGAAGGCGGTAGTATCACAGTTGGGGCAAATGAACAAAACTCACTCCACAGGGGCAACCGGCAGGATGCTAGGGTTGTACACCCATTCGGGGATGGGCTGTCCGTCGGGCGTATGGCGGGCGAAGGCGGTAGTATCACAGTAGGGGTAGTTGGGGCACACTGCTGGATGCACTCCAGCCGGGTACTCGCGGCACAACGCTACCGCGGCCAGAGCGAGGAGGGCGAACTGGAAAAAAATATACAGATTAAAAAAATTGGGCAAGTTTAAAAAAGTTTGGGGGTACTTCTCATTTACACTCAAATGTGATGGTCACACAATAATAGTTCATAAACGGTATAAGTTAGAACAATAACTTTGAAATCAGATGATTAAATATCTATTTAGCTACATACAAAATAAATTTTATCGTAATAGAAGCAAAAATAAAAAACGGGGTCATTTTTCGCGTTCTCATCGTGTCACACCTTCGGTTGCAATGAAACATTTGGTTACTGCATTCACAATTTTCATTCAATTTGTGTGCAGCATATACCAAAATCATCGTAATTAAATTAGCTTTCCACACAATAGTCAAAAAAATATCTTCTTATAATTATTTTGAATTGGGAAAGCGAAATACGTTGGTCACACGATTTTAGGTACCTAAAATTTTGAGTTATAATACAAGATTGCCGTTAAACCGAACACCAGCAACCAATCACAGCGTTCTATTCGGTTAACGTAAGTCGCGCTTCGACCATTGGGGAGGTGAGATAGGTCGATCGTCGCTCCGCGAAAAAAATACGTAACTTTTTGTGATTATCCATAGACATACCGTCGCTTGCTTGAACAATATTTTCTACCTCTAAAATTTAAACAATTTAATTGAAACTTTGCCATTGAAAACTTAACATGTTAGACTTATTTGTGTAGTATTCAACTTGAACCGTTAAATTCAAATTTAAGGATAATTCATAAAAAACTAAAATTTTCGTCACGTTCGTGGCATCACCTTCGTGGTGTTTTATACACGAAGGTGATTTTAGGCCACGAAAGTGATTTCTTGCTTTGGTTTATTTTAAAATATAGTGACTGGTGTTTATGTTTTTACAATATTTTAATAACTAATAATAAATTATACGTGGTAAGTAGAGATCAGTACATCAATAAATAAATAAGGGCCTCGTATTTTTATTGTCTGTTTGTCTGTGTGACTGTATGCATGTCTGTATATGTGACTGTGTGTGTATCTGTTTGTAAGATAAATTTAATCTGAAGTTTGACTTAAAAGTTGTATAACAAAAATACGAGGCCCTCTGGCCTAAATAAAAAATATAATTTTGTTGAGGGACTGATAATCAGTTAGAGTTCTTTTTTTATTGAGGTACTGATAATCCGTTTTTTGCTTCTTTAGCATTTCAGAATGCCACCAGTGTCACCCTTAAAACCAATTGCGTAGAATCTTGTAACTTAGTAGGTGGCGTAATCGGTAAAATTTTATCTTGTATTTAAGTAGGTACCTATTTATATTATGTTATTACTATTTATCTATGAAAATAAGACAAAATATATGTTTTATAAACACTTAAGAGTCATTTACAGTAGTAAAGTTTGAAAAAATTATTGCTGTGAAATACAGAATCACTTTCGTGGCATCAAAAAATTCAAAACGTTAAAGCGTCCAAACGAGACTCACTATTTGCCTGATTTACTGAGAATACAATCTTCACATCAAGCGCTACAATTTTTGTTTACAAAAAGTTGAAATAAGTTAGAAATAAAATTCGCCACGAAGGTGACGATGAGAACCGTGGCGATGAGAAATAGCCTTGGAGTTTTTGAAAATAAATCTATGATTCTAATTAATGGTTACAGATTAAAAATTGATTTTAGGGCTAGTTTTAAAAAAGTTTTGGAAAAAAAACTTTTTTTAAACTTTTTTTGGCAAAGCGTGTCAGTTTCACAACGTCGGACATAAAAGTCGTTATTGAAAAAAAAACTGTCGTTATTGAAATTGATAGTTGTCACATGTTATCTGCAGTAAGTTCTTTATTGTTAATTTTATACATGAAATAGTAAATATTTAGCTGTGTAAACAATACAATCGTTAATTTTGCGGTTAAGAAAGTCGCACCTAAACTATGTCAACTATGCCCAGTAGCTGTGGGCAGGCTTCGATCCCGCTGGTCAGATAGCATTCTACGACGCTAAGTATAGTTTATTCCAATTACAATACGATGATTTGGCAGAAATAATTAGACCGACTCAATATTGGCACAATAAATATGCAAAAAAAAAGCAACAACGCAAAAAAGTTTTACTCCATACACTAAATTATCTAGGGACATCTTAGTGCCTAGATTTCACATGAAAAACTCAACTATTTAAGTTGGACGTGACCTTCCATTTCCCTTCAGCTATAGCAGATGCTGGTACGAAAGGTATGGGACTATTCCCACCTCTCGTTCTTACGCTGCAACTCCCGTGTAGCCAGGATCTACAGCTTGACCGCCAATAAAAAACCCAACCAGTGATAGGAAAGTTAGACTGACATTGGACCCGTCAGATAATTTTAAGAAAAGAACATAGGGGGGCATTAGGTATTGCATAAAATTTCCTAGTACTATCCAGAGTCCATTTATTCAATTGAAAAACTCAACTGTCTCTAGTGAGACACGAATTCCTAATTTTGCGCTTCCTAGAGTCTCTCAGAGCGTTCTTTGATAAACGAAAGGTCATGATTTCAATTGTCATTTTCAGTAGATTTTTTAAGTAAATAAAATAAATTAGGTTATTTTTCTGTTATTAATAATAATTATGCGGAAATTCCACTAAAATATGAATGCGGACTGTAGCTAAACCTTGCTTCCCGGTTTGATAACTAGAAAATTCGGCCCCACCTTGCTTAGAAATTTCTAGCTAGTACTTGTTTCTTTCAACACAATGCAAGTGGGCGCAGTTATGCACCGATCGCAATGCAAACAATTGCAGTTTGCTAATCCGTTTAAAATTTTAATTGATCGCTTAAATCATGACAAACGCTGTTTTGTTAATTGAAAAATGTGTAATATTTGTGTCGGTACACTAAATTATTGTTTACTGTTATTATACCGGTATTGTGCATATTTTTGAAAAACTAGTTTTTTTTTCTATTAAATAAGTATTAGGTACAACTATTTTTTCTTATAGTTAATAAAATTGACTGTGGTAGTGCAAAAGACTCCTTTTAAGCAAAATTTGTCGACTTTCAAGTAGGTACCTACTCATTTAAATAAATGAAATTAAATATTTCTTTGGATTAATAGTCCAAAGAAAAACAGTTTTGATTTTAATTCTCGATTGTTGAAAAAGCTTTTTCAAAACTAGATATTTTAAAATTCAAGTTCAATGTCTCAATGCCATAAAAGTTTTAAAAACAAATCTGTCAAATGATTTCCCGCCAAAACATTGGCCACAGACAAATAACAGCCTCGATTCTTTCTCGAGTACAACATCGATTGAATTTCAATTGCTCGATTAGCAATTCATATCACAGTATGTGTTGTATTGTATGTCATAATTGAAGGCATGCAGCCTTGCACCCACAGACTTAGCCTTAATTATGTATCACATAGTTTGGGTTAATGATTTATGGTAGATTGGTGATATAGTTCCAAAATACTGGACTGTCCTGTCGATGACATTGACAGTGGGGCGCCACCGTCAATACCGGATCGCTGGTTCAGATTTTTGCCATGTTGGAAACCATATAGTTGAACGATGGTAGCGCCCCCCTGTCATTGAGTTTGGCGGGACAGTTCAGCGTGGGTCATCTATAATGTTGGTGCTTACGCTTGACAAAGGGCACAAATAAATATTTTAGTTGTGACAATGAAATATTATCGTATACATGGTTAAGAAATTATGCATTTGTACAATGTCACATGAAAAATAGTAATAAAATAAAGGAAGATGAAAAGTAAGTGGCTTACGATACCAATGAGATGTTCAATGAGCGATTTTAAAGCTGAAAGCAATTTCTTTCAGACAACTGGACACTGGAAGGAAGATTATTAATCAAGTTTGATTCCCGGTTGGATCACATTTACAAAATGTGATTATTTATTTAAATTTTTAGCTAGCACACATACTAACAATGCACTGTGGCGGACTTAATGCCGGATTTATCATTAGGTTTTAATAATAACAGAAAATTGTATTTCTTGAGCAGGTTTATTCTTGATCAAACAAATAACTTTTGCCTTTGACGTTTATTTCAGGTCTAGGTTTTAGCCCTAGCTAATATTTACATAATGCTAGGAAATTAGATAATAAGTTACTTTCTTGACACTGTCTTAAGTTAATTAATAACATAAATTAACAGTTCTACCTACTATAAAATTGTTTTTGCTTGTTTTAAGTAAAAAAATAGCTATGGTGTTTTACTAATTAGCTATACTTATTTTACTATTAATTTGTACTCATTTAAAAAAATGTCAAAACAATTTGTTTAAAAATAATATTTGTATGTATTTTAGGTAATTTGGGTTATTTTAAAATTACTATTTTCATTTTTAAATCCAATGAGGTTCACAATTTTTGCTATTCTATGCAAATCTTTGTGTTTAAACTACCAATTGAAAATTAAATTAATTTAACATGACACTGGCACTTATTAACAAAAGCTAAAGAGAGAAAAAAGACAACTAAAATTTTCAAAATTGGAACGTTTTTCCCACTGGCGGGAAACCACTGATTCTGACATTGACAAGTGACAGATGCCTAATAAAGGGTGTGTTTGCAAAACCCACTAAGTATTATTCGAATAAAATAATTAAAAAATCGAATAGTACTCACCAATTTAGCGAACATTGTGCCTGAGTTTGTATCCTCTCCAGTTTATAACTGAGACTGATAACTACGTAGAGCTCGCGTTCGTTTTTATACGAATCGGTGCAACTTGAGGTACACCAGTCCCAAACTCTACCTCTATTTTTGACTCGTAACACCATACACATAGAGGTGATATTCTTTCAAGAGGTTCATTGTACAGCATGCATAGCGTGATAAAATACAATACAATTTTTCGTCATTTTTGGGTATTCAATTTTGACGAAAGCACTAAGTGTTAACTGTAACTCCAAATTAACTTGTGAAACTAATTTGTAGTTAAATTAAAACAAACAGTTTTATTTAAATTGTTTCAATTCATTTTTTCTTGTTTCCGGGGTTGATTCAGTGACATTTTGACATGAGAGACAACAAAGTAAGATTAAAACCTGCTTGTACGCAAAGAAATACCTTCAAGAAATTGATCCATGAAGAAGCGATTCAAATTCAAATTCTTTAGTAGTTTGTAGGCCCTTTCCAATAAGTAAGTACTTGTGCAACTTCTAATAAATTAAATAATTTTCAAAGCAAAAACAGTAAAAGATAAATACTAAGTCAGGTGTACCTTCATAATCATTATTGTTATTTTTATTTGTATTTTAGAAATAACTTATTTGAAATAGAACTAGGGAAAATATTTATTTCGCAGATGACACCACTTTTCTAACAAAACAGTTAATTTTAACTCTGAAATTCAATTTTAATAACTACAACGACTATAGGGTAATTCCAGGATACATGCCCCAGTGGGATAGGTGCCGCGATTTTAAGTACACTATGTTACAATACAAGCAACTTAGCCTAAGGTTATAGTACGTATAATAGAAAGGGACCTCCCCGTACCACTTTTCGCTTCGCAAACCATCAAAGAGTGCGTTTGTTTAGCCAGTGAGAGCAAAAATCTTCCGCGGCCAGACCTTAGCGAGCGTCGAAATAATATTGGTAAGTATTTTTTAATGGATAATTTTTTTGTCAGCTGTAAAATGAAGCAGATTTTTATATAATTTGATAGACTATCTTATAAATTATACGGGATAGATATGTTTAATTCGATTTTTAGTGTTATTATATTTTTTATTAAAAACGGCACCTATCCTATGCTAAAAGGATAGTTGCCTAAATTTTTTTGGGTATAGATGCCCTTAGGGCCATGTCCCATGCACCTAGGGGCATCTATCCTAACCTGCTCTTTTTGTCACAGGTAGCAAGTAAGAAGAAAAAAACAATGTAGTACGGCTAACCTTAGGAAAGTAATAAATAGCGTGCCCTTCTGATCGAATTACCTTTTTACCCGACTGCGCTAGAAGGAGTAGTATTATTTTTAATAAAAAATATTACATTTCATTTTTAATGCATTTAATAACAAACAATCTTAAATAATAATACTTGGCTTATTTGATTTGAAAATGCATTTGATCCTTAGATTTCATAAACTGTATTAACGAGTCATCTATCCCTGCATCAGGCATCTATCCTTTGAAGCAATCATACTGTGAGTCTTCTATCCCCCACATTAGGCGTCTATCCCACTTTTTAGAGGTCAATTAAAATGGTATTTACTCAGAATCGGTATAACTTAAACTAAAAAAATTATAGTAATATCATAGATGAAAGACCAAAGTTTACAGATACTAAGGTCAAATTGTTGATAAAAAATTACTGACTGAGTTACAGAGCTGTTTCAAAAAGTGGGGCATCTATCCTGGACTTACCCTAACTTTCGTGTAAACGTCGAGAGTTTCTTTCTGTACAGAATATCGTATAACATGGCGCCAAACTGGCAAAAGCTAAGGGAACTAATTAATTTTTAATCAACTCTTTGTGGGTTTTCACTAAGAAGGTTACAATCCTAGAGTCAGACGTCATGAGATACCATTTCATACCATAATATGCATCTGATATGGATTCAACAGTTCAACACTTAACTCAGTCAGTGCCTGAGGTATGGAAGCGGCACGGGAGGGGGACATTGACATAATGACGTCACAGAGAATACAAATCTGAAGCACATTTGAAGTCTCGATGACGTTTGATGTCTTAAAAACACCCTCCTGTGCCGCTCACCTCAGGCACTGACTGGACCTATAGAATATGCTATTTTTAAACATAATATCTTAATTTGGAACAACAGTAAGCTTGGGCGCAGACCACCGACTTTTAGTTGGCCTATAGTTGGAAGAATCGGCCGATACCAAATCGGTGTTATGTGCGCACTGTCATACATCTCCATACTGATCAACAGCCCGACCCAACTATCGGCCAACTAAAAGTCGGTGGTCTAAATAAAAACACAACGATTTTTCAATTTGTGTGACCCATTTAGGAACCGAATTCAGGACCTAAGTTATGCTCATTAAAGACACCCGCAGACTAACAGACCTTTAGTCAGCCGATAGTTATTGAGAAATTGATCAGTATGAACATGTATGGTAGTGCGCATATTACACCGATTTGGTATCGGCCGATTCCTCATACTAATTGGAAGCCAATCAAACTCCACCGATTAAGCCTAGGCGCAGACCACCGACTTTTAGTCGGCCGATAGTTGGGTCTGGCTGTTAATCAGTACGGATATGTATGAAAGTACGCACATTAGGTACACCGATTTGCTATCGGCCGATTCTTCATACAAATTAAAATCGGGCCCAACTATCGGCCAACTAAAAATCGGTGGTCTGCGCCTAGGCTAACGTAGATTTAACCACAGATTACAAAATACTTAGATAATTTAATAGTCAACATGTCATTAAGCTATTAAAGGGTGGTTTTAAATACCTTAATAAAAGGATTTTCTACCTGAATAATGTGATTAATATAAATCATAAATAACTACATAGTTATTATGTAATTATAATTTGTCTAAGTGCGAAACGATCAATATAAATATTTGCATTTATATAGCTCACGTAATAGCAACTTTTTATCTAGATAGAATACAAATAGGATTGGTGTACCAATTAATTGAATATACACCTTGTCCCAAAATTCAATAGTCATGACCATGTCCACTACGGCGCCGGCTTATCGTTGAATTTTGGGACAAATTATGTATCACCCACAGATACGATGTCCTGGGTGATCAAAAATGGACTTCAGTTAAATTATTATTTTAGTGTCCTTTGATCACCTACAAGCAAATCACACCTCCTCTGAATAGTCACATCACTCACATGTCCAATTGTTGTACTTACATATTGTGTTTTGTAACATTTTTGATATTTTCTAAAAACCACAACAAACAAATTGGACATGTATGTGACTATTCAGAGGTATGATTTATTTATAGGTAAACTAACACATACATTAAATTGTTGCTGGAAGTCAACTTTGATCACCTGGGTCATCAAAGCCAGGTGATCAAAGTGGAATAGACCAAAAAAGCACGTCAGACGATAGGTGGTGTCAAGTTCTTTATTCAGGGGTCAATACTTTCTCGCTCTACCGCACACCGCAGTACGTTTGGTGTGAGTCAAGGACTGGTGTCAGTTACAGTAATGTAACGGAACCACAAAATATAACAGAAGGTAAACTCATGTATGTACCTCGCTTTGCATACCTCTCTCGCTCGCACGCTCGGCCGTCGCGCTAGGGTTGTCTTGTCATGTGTTGCGTTTATTTCGTTATTGATAGAAAAATGTTACTCTTAATACTATGCAAGAAAGACAATAACAGATATCCACGTATACTTATTTATATTTAGTACGTTGTTATAGTAAGAGAAGGAAGTAGGATTTAGTTGAGTGGTTGACACTATTATCCAACTAATATTATAAATGCGAAAGTTTGGATGTCTGGATGTTTGTTGCTCTTTCACGCAAAAACTACTGAACGGATTTTGATGTAACTTTACAGTATTATTGTTTATAACCCTGAATAACATATAGGCTATAATTTATGACGATCTGTGACAAACTAAATTTCACGCGGGTGAAGCCGCGGGCAAAAGCTAGTTTAGTTATCCAATAATTCCTAAAACCTCTCTAAAACAATTCGATATTCCTAATAATTGAGTTGGCTTTCAATTTCAATTGAAATTCAAATAAATAACTTACTTACCTCCCCGAATGAACTGGTAATTAAAAAAATGAAAATTCGGTATTTAATTATGAGTTTAAGCAACCAAATACCGAACAATTATAATACGACTTTTTCTGTTCACTCATTTTCGTCAATTTCGCAAAACAAAATAATATCACAGGCGGTTGACCGGCGCGTGACTCAAGCGAACCACAGCGAACGTGTGGCGAACGTCTGTCGCGCCACGTCGCGCTCGCATTCGTCCAAGACAGTCTTGCTCGAGCGGTGTCTGTCTATGTGTGCGTGACTCGAGCGCGTTTAGTATGGAGTTTGTCTTCTGTTATATTTTGTGACGGAACCTTCTCGAATTTCGGCCGTGACACCCTTGACTAGTTACATAGTAAAGTAAAGGGACGATATTGGTTTAGATCAGGGGTTCTCAAAGTGTGCGCCTCGAAGCTCAAGTGCGCCATAGAAAATGAAGAGGGGCGCCGTACGTGAGTCAATCCTTTACGTAGCGTTGGCGCTTGAAAACCGTTGATAACCTACCCTCCCACGTCTTTACCCGCCCATCTTTCGACTGTTTCTTTTTCGAAGGGTGTGCGTCGTGACAAAATATTAAAATAAGTGCGCCGCCGAGCCAGGGTGAAAAAGATTGCGAGCCCCTGCTTTAGACGATTCTATTTCTGGCTTAAGGCCCGGTTTCCACCAAAGCGGGGAAGAGGTGACGTGAGAAAGTGTGCGGTGAAGCTGGCTTGTCATTTTCACTATAGCGGAGAGGAGAGATAAGAGGAAACGAGAGGAGCGGAGTAGAGATGTGAGTTGTATGTAGCGGAGATATGTATTTTAGAACAATCAGGCTAATTCAAATGTGATGTCTTTACTAGAATCGAACTTAATTCATAAATACTACCTACTAACTGTACAATCCGACCACTCCTCCGCACACCTTTAAAACCACTAATTACCGTCCACCGTTAAAGATAGCTCAATTAATTTTGCTAATTGTTTATAA